CCGGTAGGATGATTGGACTCATAGTAGGTGGGCATTCCAACCTGATGGTTGAGGGCCTGGGGTATTCCATCCCGAGGGATGATTGGACCCAAAGTAGTTATTGTATGTATAGGTGTGTGGGCATTCCAACCCGATGGTTGTGGGCCGAGAGTATTCCATCCCGAGGATGATTGGACTTGTAGTATGTTGGCATTCCAACCCGACGGTTGAGGGCCTGGGGTATTCCAACATGTCGGTTGATTGGACCCATAGTATGTTGTTCATTGCTGTATGTGTATGGTTATGTGTGTACGGGTATTTTGGGGGAACTCACTAAGCTTTCGAGCTTACGGTTTTCAGTTTATTGTTTCTGGTACATCCGGTGATCGTGGCAAGGCAAAAGCGTGATCGTACCGCTCCTCATATTTCATGATTTTGTGATTTGGTTCTGGGGATACTCTGATGTTTAAACTATTTTGAAAACAAGTTGTAATAACTTAATGGTTTTTGAATGGGTTAAAATGTTTTGAATTGGCTTGAATTTTATGGGTGTTACAATATTTGTATTTGTGTATGTGTATGTATACGTGTTTGTGAGATGTATGTGAACGTGTTCATAAGCATTATAGTTTTAAACCACTAAACAAGTAACGGATCCTGTATGTGCACACGACTTTATGAACGATATTAATAGCTATAAGTTGGTGAAAATATAGATAATCATGTATAATAGAGGTGTGAAAAAAACGGAGCGAGAAAAACGATGTTTGGTACCCGAAAAATCAAAAATAAGAAAAATCCATAGTTAATCCGTAGCTAATTAGCTACGAATTAGCTACGGAATTCTAATAGAAAGCATATTCCGTAGCTAATCTGTAGGTAATTAGCTACGGATTAGCTACGGATTTTTCTTATGTTCGATTTTTTGGGCACCAAACGTCCTTTTTTTCGCTTCGATTTTTTCACACCTCTACTATACATGATTATCTATATTTTCACCAACTTATAGCTATTAATATCGTTCATAAAGTTGTGTGCCCCTTCGGGATCAAGTACTCGTTTCACAGTTTAACATTGTAATGCCTATACTTTCCACCAACTTGTGATGGATTATATTTGTATATGTATATTTATATACATGAATGAGTTGTGGTGTATGTGTATGTATAAGTGTTTGTTAGATGTATGTGAACGTATTGATAATCATAATAGTGTTAAACCACTAAACGAGTAACGGATCCCGTATATGCACACGACTTTATGAACGATATTATTAGCTATAAGTTGCTGAAAATATAGATAATCATGTATAATAGAGGTGTGAAAAAAACGGAGCGAGAAAAACGAAGTTTGGTGCCCGAAAAATCAAAAATAAGAACTATCCGTAGCTAATTAGCTACGGATTAGCTACGGTATTCTAACGGAAAGCATAATCCATAGTTAATATTATCGTTCATCAAGTCGTGTGCCCCTTCGAGATCAAGTACTCGTTTCACAGTCCTATTCTTTCCACCAACTTGTGACGGATTATGTTTGTATATGTATATGTATATACACGAATGAGTTGTGGTATATGTGAATTTGTATATGTGTATGTATACGTGTTTGTGAGATGTATGTGAATGTATTCATAAGCATTATAGTGTTAAACAATTGAACGTGTAACGGATCCCGTATGTGCACACGACTTTATGAATGATATTAATAGCTATAAGTTGGTGAAAATATAGATAATCATGTATAATAGAGGTGTGAAAAAAACGGAGCGAGAAAAACGAACTTTGGTGACCGAAAAATCAAAAATAAGAAAATTCGAACTTAAACCGTAGCTAATTAGCTACGGATTAGCTACGGAATTCTAACATAAAACATATTCCGTAGCTAATGCGTAGGTAATTAGCTACGGATTAGCTACGGAGTTTTCTTATTTTCGATTTTTGGGCACCAAACGTCCTTTTTTTTCGCTTCGATTTTTTCACACCTCTACTATACATGATTATCTATATTTTCACCAACTTATAGCTATTAATATTGTTCATAAAGTCGTGTGCCCCTTCGGGATCAAGTACTCATTTCACAGTTTAACATTGTAATGCCTATACTTTCCACCAACTTGTGATGGATTATGTTTGTATATGTATATTTATATACATGAATGAGTTGTGGTATATGTGTACGTGTATACGTGTATGTATACGTGTTTGTGAGATGTATGTGAATGTATTCATAAGCATTATAGTGTTAAACAATTGAACGTGTAACGGATCCCGTATGTGCACACGACTTTATGAATGATATTAATAGCTATAAGTTTGTGAAAATATAGATAATCATGTATAATAGAGGTGTGAAAAAAACGGAGCGAGAAAAACGAACTTTGGTGACCGAAAAATCAAAAATAAGAAAATTCGTACTTAAACCGTAGCTAATTAGCTACGGATTAGCTACGGAATTCTAACATAAAACATATTCCGTAGCTAATGCGTAGGTAATTAGCTACGGATTAGCTACGGATTTTTCTTATTTTCGATTTTTGGGCACCAAACGTCCTTTTTTTTCGCTTCGATTTTTTCACACCTCTACTATACATGATTATCTATATTTTCACCAACTTATAGCTATTAATATTGTTCATAAAGTCGTGTGCCCCTTCGGGATCAAGTACTCATTTCACAGTTTAACATTGTAATGCCTATACTTTCCACCAACTTGTGATGGATTATGTTTGTATATGTATATTTATATACATGAATGAGTTGTGGTATATGTGTACGTGTATACGTGTATGTATACGTGTTTGTGAGATGTATGTGAACGTATTGATAATCATTATAGTGTTAAACCACTAAACGAGTAACGGATCCCGTATGTGCACACGACTTTATGAACGATATTAATAGCTATAAGTTGGTGAAAATATAGATAATCATGTATAATAGAGGTGTAAAAAAAACGGAGCGAGAAAAACGAAGTTTGGTGACCCAAAAATCAAAAATAAGAATAATCCGTAGCTAATTAGCTACAGATTAGCTACGGTATTCCAACGGAAAGCATAATCCGTAGCTAATCCGTAGGTAATTAGCTACGGATTAGCTACATATTTTTCTTATTTTCGATTTTTTGGGCACCAAATGTCGTTTTTTTCGCTTCGATTTTTTCACACCTCTGCTATACATGATTATCTATATTTTCACCAACTTATAGCTAATATTATCGTTCATAAAGTTGTGTGCCCCTTCGGGATCAAGTACTCGTTTCACAGTCCTATACTTTCCACCAAGTTGTGACGGATTATGTTTGTATATGTATATGTATATACATACATGAATGAGTTGTGGTATATGTGTATTTGTGTATGTGTATGTATACGTGTTTGTGAGATGTATGTGAACGTATTGATAATCATTATAGTGTTAAACCACTAAACGAGTAACGGATCCCGTATGTGCACACAACTTTATGAACGATACTAATAGCTATAAGTTGGTGAAAATATAGATAATCATGTATAATAGAGGTGTGAAAAAAACGGAGCGAGAAAAACGAAGTTTGGTGCCCGAAAAATTAAAAATAAGAAATCTCTGTAGCTAATTCGTAGCTAATTAGCTAGTACGGAATTCTAACGGAAAGCATATTCCGTAGCTAATCCGTAGGTAATTCGCTACAGATTAGCTACGGATGTTTCTTATTTTCGATTTTTTGGGCACCAAACGTCCTTTTTTCGCTTCGATTTTTTCACACCTCTACTATACATGATTATCTATATTTTCACCAACTTATAGCTATAAATATCGTTCATAAAGTTGTGTGCCCCTTCGGGATCAAGTACTCGTTTCACAGTTTAACATTGTAATGCTTATACTTTCCACCAACTTGTGATGGATTATGTTTGTATATGTATATTTATATACATGAATGAGTTGTGGTATATGTGTACGTGTATACGTGTATGTATACGTGTTTGTGAGATGTATGTGAACGTATTGATAATCATTATAGTGTTAAACCACTAAACGAGTAACGGATCCCGTATGTGCACACGACTTTATGAACCAGGAATTGGTTGCGGATAAATTTAAGTTAAAAGCTTATCTTTTAACTCTGTTAAATGGTTTTTATTAGAGTTAAGACCCTTTTTTAAGAGATTTTGTACACCAGGAATTGGTTGCGGATAAATTTTAGTTAAAAGCTTATCTTTTAACTCTGTTAAATGATTTTTATTAGAGTTAAGACCCTTTTTTAAGAAATTTTGTACATAAATGTGTGCAAATCTTCTACTTTTAGCATTTATCTGCTTTCTAAAATCATCTCGTATAGACGTTTGTAGTGCTAAGTCTATTAAAGAAATTTCATCATTAATATAATCTAAATTTCTTTGAAGTTGTTTAATAGCAATTATGCAATCTTTTATTTGAGAAATCATGAACTTATTAGGTTCTTGATTGGCTAATACTTTGTTGCTACTCATTTGAGTTGTTATAAGATTTTTGCTTTTTATAAAAGATTATTTATTATAGAGTTTATAGTTTTTGAAATTAAAAACTTAAACGGGATAGTTTTGTTATAAATTAAAAGATAGTTTTCATACCTTACTCGTGCGTGAGGCTCTGTGATTTTTTCGTCAATCTTGGTGTCGATCGTTCCTTCTTCCCTACGTCCTTCTGAACGGCGGTACTTGTTAGTACTAGATCATTATGACGAATAAGACTTCAGACTTTAAAAATACAGACATTTGCACAAATGATGGATTGAGAAAACTTCTCTTATTTATAAATGAACTAAAACCTGAAGGTTTTTACAATTTCAAACTATAAACCCTATATGGGGTTTTACTCACACATTTGCAGATTTCAATATGAATGCTTAAGGCTCTCGTATTTTCACTCTCCCTACAAATGAAAGCATAACTCTCTATTTATAGAATCATAGAGAGGATCAGATACAAGTGTTTTACGTCACTGCTGACCAAATCATCCACTAACTACATTATTGTGTAGTGGCTTATCTTTGAGGGTCCTCTCTTATATGGAGCTTGTGGAGGAATCTTCTTTAATAATGGCTTTGCCATTATTATTGTCGATAGTGGAGGCCACCTTGATGGTTAAGCATTGACAGGTGTATCTGCTAGTGCTTTTGTGGAGCGTCTTACAGATGTCTGCCACGTGTTCGCCGATTAAGTCTGGCTTTAGCAAGGAGTTTTGGAAGGCTAAGAATTGTTGTTCATCGGCCGGAGAAATCTCTTTGCTGTATTTGCTGTAGATTAAGGTCTTCTCATTGGCATCATATCCATTGACGAAGATCTTGTCATCCGCTGAAAAACTAAAAACCTTATTGATAAAGATTTCAATTCTAGATTTTGCTACCTGGAGGATATCGGCTCTCTCAAGCTTTTCTTCCATGGCTTTGCTGGGCAGATAGGTTTCTTGCTTGCAGATGCCTATCTGTACTAAATGATGAGGATGATATTTTATTTCATCCTTATCATTCCAGTATGGGATGCTACTGTTGAATTTTAGAAACATGTCTTGATCCTTTTTGCAGCATCTTGTTCTAAAAGTTTTTATTGCTTTTGTAAAGCTTTTAGAGAAAAGCTTTATTTCCTGCAAGTTTTGACTAGGATATATGGTTTTTACCAATTCTAGTTGAAATGATTCATACACTTGTAAAGAGTTAGCATTTTTGTAGAAATTGTAGTGACTTAAATTCTTCCCGTCAATAGTGGAGAATTTTTCTTCTACAAAATTTTCTTCTGTTGCACTTCGAGCATACCTGTAACAATACTCAAAGTCTTTTAACTTGATTTCTATTGGGAGGTCATGTGTGACTTCCTCAGTATTTTTGGGAGTTCTTCTTGGAAGGCTTCCAAGAATAGTTTTGGAACTTTGGTAGAATTTAAGGCTAACTTGAATGTGTTAGCCCTTAAGGTCTCTGCTGCAGTAATAAGGTGTAGTTCTGAGCACCTTTTAGATCTTGTGTATTGATCTGCAGCTATCTTGGCTTCAAGAAAGTTATTAAACTTTTTATGTTTAATATTTTTAATTCCTTCTGTTGCCTTTTTGGTGATATTCCAGTCTTCAAATATACCAGCGTTGGGTCCATTGAATACAACGTAGTATGGTTTTGAATTTTTATTAGGAATTTGTAACAATTCCACTGGGATTTGAATTCCCTTATCAGGTGTTCCTGATCTTGAAGATGAACCTTCAGTTTTTGGGATTTGAATTCCCCCGTTGGGTCTTAAACTAAAGTCTAAGGGTGTAACCAACGTTATTGGAGTTTGTACTCCTGTCTGGATTTTTAGTAAATCCACAACCTTCAACGGATTTGTTGAGTCTTTACCTGGAACATTGACCTCTTGTTGTTCGATGTTCTTTTGAACACTTGCATTTTCTTCTAGACTCATAGGAGAGGAAGGAGAAGAAAGTTCGTTTTTATGTTCAGACATAAATAGTCTTACAATTTTTAATTGGTTTCTGACGAATTCCAATTCTTGTTCAAGAAGAGCTTGTTTGAGCATAAGCTCTTGTTCTTTCTCCATTTGAGAAAGGCTATGTACCTGTAGTCCAAATTATGGACTGAGGTTAAAACCTCTTGGGTCGTTAGACCACCAAAGTATAACATTGAATGGCTTTGATTCCTGCATGAAAAGAGTATCAAACCTGATTAGTTTTAATGTTGGAATTCTCGAGTTAAGAAGTCTGCAAAGATATTCTTTTCTCCTTTAATGTGCTCTACTTCGAAGCTATATCTGGAAAACCACATTTGCCATCGAACTAATCGACCTTGTTTGTTATCTCCAGAAATGTTATTTCTTAAAAAAATAAGCAAAGTTTTTGTTATCTGTTCTTACTGTAAAATTTATAGGTGTTAGATAGATTGAAAACTTTTCAATTACTCTTTTAACGACAATATATTCTTTTTCATTAGAATGGTAATTTCTTTCAGCATCCTTAAAAGATCCTGAGGTGTACCTACAAATTAATTCTTTGGATTGATCCTAAGTTAGGATGATATAGAGGTGGAAACTCTTTTAGGTTTTTTTTCTTTTTTCCATATAGCTAGAATCATCTTCAGACCATGACCAAAGGACATATTTCTTAAGTTTGCATTGTAAGGGACTTCTTATTTTTGCAAGTTTAGGAATGTAGTCTGAAGCATATGTTAAGATTCCTAAAAATCTTTGTAACTGTTTTTTATCTTCAATTTTATTAGGAAATTTATGAATATTTTCCAAAATATGATTTTGAAGACGATGACTTCCTTGTTCTATTTCTAACCCAAGAAAATTTATTTTACTTTTAAAAAGTTGTGCTTTCTTTTTGGAAAGAATGATTCCAAGAAGATCACATTTTTTGAGAACAGCTGCTACGTGTAACAAATGTTCATTTTCATTGTTGCTGGATATGAGGATATCATCTACATAAATGCAACCAAATTTTTTAAAAGATCTGAATGCATTTTGCATATGTCTTGGAAATATGGATGGAGCTTGTGTTAGACCGAAAGGTACAACAGTCCATTGGTAATGTCCTTGGGGACATGTGAAAGCTGTTAAGAGTTGTGATTCAACGTCAAGTAAAACTTGCCAAAAGCCAGATTTACAGTCGAAAGAGCTGAATATTGTTTTTCCTCTAATAAAGGTGAGAATTCCATATTTATTAGGGAGAGTATGGCTGTCACCTATGGTTGCTTTGTTAATAGCTTTGTAGTTAACTACCATTCTTTTCTTTCCTCTTCTTATTTCTGCATCATTTTCGACAAGGAAAGCGGGAGATCTGTGAGGAGATTTACTTGGAATGATGACCTTTATTTCAAGTAGTTCTTTGATTTGTTTACTAAATTCTTCGACATCTTGAGGACTGTATTTCATAGGTTTAACTGTTATGATACTGGTCGGGTCGATTAATTTTATGTTTGCTTTCATCCATTGTTTAGACTTTATTGGGTCTATAGGATTTTTTGGGCAAACTTTTTCAAGTAAACTTTTAATTTTTGAAAATTTTTCTTGGTTAAGAAGAAATTTAAATTCTTCTTCATTCTCCCCCATTTTAAAAGGCAAAGTTTCTTCAATTTTGCTTTGAGAGATGTTGACAGGTTCTGATTTTTTAATTTTTGAATTATTTTTCATTGATTCTAAAAATCCAGGTTTTCCATTTCTATAAGCGTTTATGATTTTATCAATAATGATTTGAACACCATTGTTGTGGAAAGTAACTGTTTTGAGATTTTGTACAAATGGTCTATACAAAAGACAGAAGTTATTTCCTAGGATGAAATCTATTCCACATTCTTGTTGGTATACAGAGGGGATATGGAATATTTCTCCAACAAGTCTTATCTATAAATCAACACATTTTTTGTTGATAATTACAGGCCCGTTTGCTGTGGAAACCTTTATAGGTTTTGGAGTGTTAATCAAATGTTCTTCTGGAATAACATATTTACTTGCGATACAAAGACTGGCTCCTGTACCAATATAACAATTTAAATCAATCTGTTTATATCCGGCGAATCTAAAGGTACCTTTAACATAGATTGAATTAGGATTTGTGATAGTTAGTATCACGTTTTTAGAGTTCATGACCTTTGAGTCAGTCTGAATTAGTGTCTGATTCTGTAGATGAAGAAGATGATAATTCATCTAGAGGTTCTTCGATCAATGTGTAGATGATTTGTTCATCTTGAAATTGTTCTTCTATAGGCCTAAGGTCCATAGATGATGCTATTTCAAGGAGTTTAACTTTTTGTGGGTAATCGTTAAACTCCTTGAAATAGCATCATCTATGGACCTTAGGCCTATAGAAGAACAATTTCAAGATGAACAAATCGTCTACACATTGATTGAAGAACCTCTAGATGAATCATCATCTTCTTCATCTAAAGAATCAGACACTGATTCAGACTGACTCAAAGGTCATGAACTCTAAAACCGTGATACTAACTATCACAAATCCTAATTCAATATATGTTAAAGGTACCTTTAGATTCGCCGGATATAAACAGATTGATTTAAATTGTTATATTGATACAGGAACCAGTCTTTGTATCGCAAGTAAATATGTTATTCCAGAAGAACATTGGATTAACACTCCAAAACCTATAAAGGTTTCCACAGCAAACGGACCTGTAATTATCAACAAAAAATATGTTGATTTACAGATAAGACTTGCCGGAGAAATATTCCATATCCCCTCTGTATACCAACAAGAATGTGGAATAGATTTCATCCTAGGAAATAGCTTCTGTCTTTTGTATAGACCATTTGTACAAAATCTCGAAACAGTTACTTTCCACAACAATGGTGTTCAAATCATTATTGAGAAAATCACAAACGCTTATAGAAATGGAAAACCTGGATTTTTAGAATCAATGAAAAATAATTCAAAAATTAAAAAATAAGAACCTGTCAACATCTCTCAAAGCAAAATTGAAGAAACTTTGCCTTTTAAAATGGGGGAGAATGAAGAAGAATTTAAATTTCTTCTTAACCAAGAAAATTTTTCAAAAATTAAAAGCTTACTTGAAAAAGTTTGCTCAGAAAATCCTATAGACCCAATAAAGTCTAAACAATGGATGAAAGCAAACATAAAATTAATCGACCCGACCACTATCATAACAGTTAAACCTATGAAATACAGTCCTCAAGATGTCGAAGAATTTAGTAAACAAATCAAAGAACTACTTGAAATAAAGGTCATCATTCCAAAAAAAAGCACAACTTTTTAAAAGTAAAATAAATTTTTTTGGGTTAGAAATAGAATAAGGAAGTCATCGTCTTCAAAATCATATTTTGGAAAATCTTCATAAATTTCCTAATAAAATTGAAGATAAAAAACCGTTACAAAGATTTTTAGGAATCTTAACATATGCTTCAGACTACATTCCTAAACTTGCAAAAATAAGAAGTCCCTTACAATGCAAACTTAAGAAAGATGTCCTTTGGTCATGGTCTGAAGATGATTCTAGCTATATGGAAAAAATAAAAAAGAACCTAAAAGAGTTTCCACCTCTATATCCTCCTAACTTAGATGATAAATTAATTATCGAAACTGATGCTTCAGATAATTATTAGGGAGGAATCCATAAAGCAATAAATTCTGAGGATCAATCCAAAGAATTAATTTGTAGATACACCTCAGGATCTTTTAAGGATGCTGAAAGAAATTACCATTCTAATGAAAAAGAATATATTGTCGTTAAAAGAGTACTTGAAAAGTTTTCAATCTATCTAACACCTATAAATATTTACAGTAAGAACAGATAACAAAAACTTTGCTTATTTTTTAAGAAATAACATTTCTGGAGATAACAAACAAGGTCGATTAGTTCGATGGCAAATGTGGTTTTCCAGATATAGCTTCGAAGTAGAGCACATTAAAGGAGAAAAGAATATCTTTGCAGACTTCTTAACTCGAGAATTCCAACATTAAAACTAATCAGGTTTGATACTCTTTTCATGCAGGAATCAAAGCCATTCAATGTTATACTTTGGTGGTCTAACGACCCAAGAGGTTTTAACCTC